GGAGGGGCGGGGGGGGGGAGGGGTCACGCTGAGAATGTACGAAAACCGGAAGAAATAACCAATAAAGATTTGACACTTCCGCCGCTACCCGCGCTCCCGGGGAGGCTCCGAAATCCTCGGCGGGACCCGAATCCACCGGAACGGCGGCTCCGCTTCCCGGGGGAGGGGTCCTGAGAGGGTCCTGGGGGGTCTCAGGCTTGTTGCCGGCGACTAGGCCGCACTTCCGGTTCGGCGCCGCCGTTGCCTGGCAACGCGCGATCCCGTCGTGCCTCGCGCCGCCGCCGCGCCTTCATTTCCCGTCGTCCCTCGCGCGCGTCGCCCGGCAGCAGCCAATCAGCGCTCTGCTCCGCCCCCCCTGCGCGCGTTGCTTAGCAACGCTCCCTTCCGTTTCACTTCCGGGCGGCCGTTGCTCAGCGACAGCCAATCAGCGGCGAGGTTTACTTCCGGCGTTATCCCACAATGCCCCGCGCGTTGTTTTCCTGCCACTTCCGCGTTGTGAAGCCGGCCCTGAGACCCCCTCAAAGACCCCCCCGAGGACCCTCCCCCAATTTTGGGGGGGATTTTCCCTCCCCTTTCTCCTTTTCCGGCGAATTTTGGGGGTTCCGGCGGCGTTTCCGGGGGTTGGGGGCGTTCCGGGGTTGTCCCCGCCCCTCTCCGGTGGTTCCGGGGTCTTTTTGGGGGGCCCGGGTCGCTTTTGGGGGTCCCGGGTTGATTTGGGGGTCCCAGCGCCTTTTTTTGGGTGGTTTTTGGCCGTTTTTCGTGCTGGCCAATCAGCGAGCGCGACACACCCGCGGGGCGTGGCTTGGTCAAAGCCACGCCTTTCTCCGCGCACTGCGCACGCGCAGGGCGGGGGTGGGCGTGGCCAGGCCTCCCTCACGTGTGCTCACACGCGGCCGCGCACGTGCGGCCGCACGCGGGGGCGTGGCCAAGGCTGTGGGCGGGATTTTGGGGCGTGGCCTCTCCTCCACGGGGGCGGGGCCGGGTTTTTTCTCCTCCCCCCCGCCCCTCGCGGCAGAGGCGCCGCTTCCGCCCCGCCCCCCGCGGTTCCCGGAGCCCCCCAATTAACAGGGAGCCTTAATTAGCGCCCCTCCCCCAAGAAAACACAGGGACCCCTCCCTAATTAAACACCGGGGCCCCAATTAAGCCTCGGGATCCCCTAATTAAGCCTCGGGATCCCCTAATTAAGCCCTGAGACCCCTCCCCCATTAAACACCGGGACCCCAATTAAGCTTCGGGATCCCCTAATTAAGCCCTGAGACCCCTCCCCAATTAACTTCCGGGGCCTTAATTAAGCCTCGGGATCCCCTAATTAAGCTCTGAGACCCCTCCCCAATTAAACACCGGGACCCCAATTAAGCCCTGGGGCATTAATTAAGCCTCGGGATCCCCTAATTAAGCCCTGAGACCCCTCCCCAATTAACTTCCGGGGCCTTAATTAAGCCTCGGGATCCCCTAATTAAGCCCTGAGACCCCTCCCCAATTAAACACCGGGACCCCAATTAAGCCCTTAGATCTTAATTAAGCCTCGGGATCCCCTAATTAAGCCCTGAGACCCCTCCCCAATTAACCCCGGGCCCCCCCCGCCGTTCCCGGCCCGGACTGGGCGTGGCCTCGCCGCGGGGCTGGGCGTGGCCAGGCGGGCGGGCCCCTCCCACGCACGTGGGTCACGTGGGCGGGCGCGCGGCGGCCGCGTGTGGAGGGGGCCACCCCCAGGTGCCACCACCCCCCCCCGCTCGCTGCCCACCCCTCACCGTGGAGTCCCTGCGGGCGCTGTCCCAGCTGCACTCCCCGCCGCGGCCGGGGGGAGGCGACAGCCGCCAGCAGCCCGGCGGCGACAGCCGCATGTGGCAGGAGGAGGACGAGTGCCTGGATTTCTACGGCATGCTGTCCCTGCACCGCCTCTTCGAGGTGGTGGCCGCGCAGCTGACCCCCAGCGACGTCGCCGTGCTGTCCTTCCTGCTGGACGAGGCGCTGCGGGGAGGGGACGGCGACAAGGACAAGGACGGGGAGGGCAGCGGGGCGGCGCCGCGGGGCCGGGGGGCGCGCAGGGACCCCCGCGACGGGCTGGAGCTGCTGCTGGAGCTGGAGAGGAGGGGGCTGTGCCACGAGGGGGATCTGGGCCAGCTGAGGCAGCTGCTGCGGCTGGTGACGCGGCACGACCTGCTCAGGTGTGTCAGCCTCAAGAGGCCGCGGCCAGGTGAGTGACAGCTGGGTGTCACCTCGGTGTCACCTCCCTGTGTCACCCTGTGTCAGCCACACCCCTCTGTGTCCCCTCTGTGTCTCTCCCCTGTCCCCCAGCACGACCTGCTCAGGTGTGTCAGCCTGAAGAGGCCGCGGCCAGGTGAGTGACAGCTCGGTGTCGCCTCCCTGTGTCCCCCTGTGTCAGCCACACCCCTCTGTGTGTCCCCTCTGTGTCACTCCCCTGTCCCCCAGCACGACCTGCTCAGGTGTGTCAGCCTCAAGAGGCCGCGGCCAGGTGAGTGACAGCTCGGTGTCACCTCCCTGTGTCACCCTGTGTCACCCTGTGTCAGCCACACCCCCCTCGTGTCCATCTGTGTCCCCCTTTGTGTCCCTTGTGTCACCCCACGCCCCCCGGAGTGTCACCTGTGTC